AATAATAAGTTCTTATCTAGAACGCAACAGACACTGTTTAAGAAAAAAATATAACCATTACCAATTTGGTAAAACTTCCGAATCGCGGCTTTTTCGAAAATGCAACTTTTTTTTGCTGGAAATGACGTAAAATGGCCTAATTATGAAAAACTTACATGAAATAATCCGGGGGAGGACCTTTTTAACACTTTTTTTTGCAAATTAATAATCATACCTATTATCGTTTTAGTTCAATAGAACGGAAAAATAAAAATTCACGCTATCAGGATCTATTAAATGGAAGAAGCATAAAAACCATGGCGATGATGTGATATAACTTCTTATAGTCCCTATCGTATAAAGTATAAAATACAATTAAATAATGAGTATCAGCACAATACGTGATAGAGCCTGTTTTCATTGTATTTTTATGAAGTTTGCTTGCCATACAGATTATTGTATATATTACACGTATTTATGTCAAATTTCAAACCATAAACAAAACGACCTTTTTAAGTAATTAAAAAAAGCTCTTGAATGCTGATAGAAGTTTAAGATTATTTATTGAAGGTAATTTAATGATAAGGAAATCTAATATCGATATACATTTTGATGTGATTATAGAAACGGAGATTTTGTATTTTTGAAGAACAATAGCAATAAACAACATTGTGACGTTGATTATTCATATGTTTTGAAATTTATTTTCTGTAAGTATAAGTAGGTATATGCTATAAAATGAGTACTTTGGAAATAAATTGAAAACAAAATAAGTGTCGTAAATGATACAATCATAATAACCTCTTCTCAGCTCTTTTACCAATAAATAAATAGCTTTTTTAACAGAATTTGGTAGCTATTTTAGCTCTATTATTTTCCATGTAGGTCATTTTTGTTCTTTTGTTTGAACATCAATTAAACAAATTATCTGCATAATCTTAAACTACAACATTCGTTTAATATCCAAAACACAAATAAAATGAGATATTAGGTACCTTGGGAAGTTAAGGTAATCGAAATATTAATCTAACTANATTATCTGCATAATCTTAAACTACAACATTCGTTTAATATCCAAAACACAAATAAAATGAGATATTAGGTACCTTGGGAAGTTAAGGTAATCGAAATATTAATCTAACTATTCTTTAATCTTTTAATTTAATTCTTTTAATCAAACAATTTTTTATCCTAGTTCATTCAAATAAATTATCGCATTCAGTTCCGCCTAGACACTTCTAAACAGTGCTTGTGCTATCTATAGCATTGGGGTAGCGGACATTCACAATTAGTTGTACTATGAAGGGAAATACATCTACATTTGGGACGTTTAAAATTGGCATAGTCCGCAATAAAATTGTCGTATTTACTTTCTTCTTTCAACTTACTAGTTAGGCTAGAACGCCTACTTTTACTCACGACAGACGTTGTAGGGAATATCGTATGCATAGAAAAGAGATGTCAGCTAGGAATTGCAGCGAACACTATTAAAGAAAAAATAACTTTACACCAAATAACGTGTAGCGAAAGTGATGCAGAGAACAAGAATTTGAGCATGTTGCCAGTACCGGACTATAAAGAAAGTTCAACATTCTCCGGAATTTGGAAAAGTAAAGACGCTTGTTTAAAGATACAACCTTGTTGTATATAATTTGCTATTTTTATAAGAATTTACGTTTTAATTTAATTCAGATTTTCATTAATTATGAAATAATAATAGAATGTGTGTATAAATATTTTTTAAAAAAGATTACCTAGATGTAATGGAATGCGAATTTTACGAAAAGCATTAAAATGAAATATTCTGTAAGCTTGATTTTGGCGTTTTCTCAATTAGTGGTTAATTTATATATATGCATACCTATACATAATTTTATTGTTGTAGTTTATATCGAGCAGAACAAAATTTAGAGGTGTATTAGATAATGGACTTAATGTTTCGTTTGATCAACTATGGAATTTGCTGTTATTCAGAAACGTCGTTTGCATTTAAATTTTTCATTATATAACAATATTTTGCACATTTCTAGTTTATGTAAGAAATATTCGGCTGTTTACTAAAATTCCCACAATAATTTTTACCTTTTAAATATTACGTATTACTTGGTTGTTAACCTCAAGTGTACGGATTATTATGACTAATCGTAAGTTTTTGTTTCTCGAATGAGCAGCATTATTTATTAATGCATTTGATTAATTAGTGTACAAGTAGAAATAGAAATTTGTATTTTTTCTGGACTGGTATGTTTGAGGAATAAAAAAAATAATACTCACACGTATTTTAACTAGAATTATTTGATAAAAACATTTGTTTCTTAATTACGACTTTTTTTAAACGTCACACATGAATATGTGATAAAATATGCAAAAGTATAAATTCACAGAGCTTTTCATACTTTTATTATTACCCTACAATGCTTGATAAATGTTTATCACCCATTTACGTCCTCCCTAAATAATTAAATTAATTATACCTAACGTAAATGTACCTACATAACGATTTTTTTAATGTTTTTTCTTAGATAAGAAGTAAATAATCGCAATGATAATTATCAGTCGATCATGATGATTATTGAAGAATATAGTTGACGGAAGCCTTAGGTCATAATTATGTCAAATGTAGTTTAATTTGGATTAAGTACAATTAGATACGACTACCGTATTTCTACTCACCTTCGACTATTTATCTTCTCAAACTCGTTGAAGAAAAGTATTCCTCCGTCAACCACCAGTCACCACAGTTTATTGTTCACTTCCTTTTCAACGGTCTCTATTGTGCAGTCAATTATCACACGAACTTTCTTAACTAACTAAACAATAACAAGCATCAGACAAACGTAGCGAATATGTTCCCGAATCAACTTTATCTAAAGCGACCTTTTATTAACAATTGTCCATTTACATCGGAAGGAGTGGTTAGTTACAATGAACCTGCTCATCATCCTGCTGCTGTCTGTCGCTACAAGAGGTCCTGCACCACATATCTCCAAGTTGTTAATATCGAAATTTTAAAAACGAAACTAGGTAATATCTATCGTTAAGTTGGTATCACTTTTTTCTATTCTTCTTCACTCGAAGTCACTTGTAACGAAGCCAAAATTGGTGCTAGCTTCTGATGTACTTGTCGAATTAATTCTGTCGCGATTTACGATAGCAACTTTTATATATATATACATAGGTGTATATTATGCGTGTGATTGAGTTTTCAAGTGTAGTGATAGATAGTGTTCAAGGAGGTAAATATATAGGTGTCAACCATGTCTTATGAGAGGGTCTTCCACGATGGTTGGAAACACGAGTGGGAGGTGTGGAGAGAGATCGCGGCCCCTTGTTTCTATTCGAATCCATCGTGGATTGAACCTGAAAAAAATACAATAACTAATCAATTTGTTAAATACATTAGTAAGGCGAACTAAGCGCCACAATTTTTTTATTTTCTTTAATCAACTTTTTAATGAATAGTTAAGATAAGATAAGTCAAAAATTGCCACTTAAATGCCTTTTACAAATACATATATAGAATTATCCCAGGTTTATCTTGTAGCTTTAATTAGTAACTAATGATTTTAACAACTAATAGCATTGAAACAAGAAAAAAGTGATTTTTGATTATTAATTAATCCTTTAATTTGATTATATAACTAAAAGGAAAAATAAAATTTCAATTAAAAAACTTCTGATGAGGGTAACTAATAGTAACCTAACTTTCAAGGGGTGTATAGTTTATTGTATTTTTAGGGTTTTCTGGTCACTTGGCTATCATTAGTTTAGGTT